AATATATTAATTGAAAATCGTTCCTCTAGGTTTCAAGAGTCAAAAAGCTGTATCTGAAGAAATAAATTGAAAGGCATAATCTCATTTGTTACATTTTATTCTTTTTCATAGTGCACAATATCATTATAACTACCAAAAAATATGTTAAGTATTTAGTGATGAACATTACTTGCGCACAGTGTAAACTAAGAAATTACGATGTTTTTAAACACTAATGTAAAAATGTTACTCATCGCTGTAAAAAATAAACACTAAAAAATTTAAATTTTAATATAGAAAGTAAAGTTGGAATATTAGCTGAACACAATAATAAATGTCGTAACTAAGCCACAACATTATGATTTACATGATTATAGTATAATAGATAATGAATGCATTATATAACAGCAAATTATATAATATAATTCATATTTACAATTATGTCAAAACTGTTTTAAAATAAAATCTTCGAACGCATAAACAATGAACCGACTTAAAACCATTGTAAGTTTAAGTCTGATGAAAACACCTACTACTAGTGGCGCTTTTAGGGAGAGGCGACTCGGGTAGTGGCTTGGGCCGTCAGTGTCAAAGGTGGGCCACAAGCCCATGAGCCCATGTGGCGGCTTGAACCACGAATTAATTTGATACCATAGCCAATCCTGTTTACAATATGGGGCTACAACATTTACAATCTGGTCGGATTGTAATCAAGCACTAAATAAAAAGGAATGGGGACGCAAATAACTAAGGCCGGCTTAGCATATAGCTTGTATATGTTTCACTTATAAGAAGCAACTAAGTAATTATTAGTTCAACTTTGGCGGAATTAAGGGAAGACAAACAGTACTTAAATTAAAATTCTCTCCGGTAGAATTGGCATGTTTTATAATATCAATAATATTCCAATATATATACTAGTTGGCCAGGTAGACCTTGTTCTGCCCATACCGACGACCCTTTGTCCTATTAAAAATCCTTAAATTCGCAATAAAAAAATATTGAGGTCACTTATCGGGATAAAAATCTCTCAAGTTGGACCGAACTGCACACTGTGTGCAAAATTTTATTAACATCAGTTCAGTAGTTTAAGAGCGGACAAACAACGTGACACGTAATTTTTATATATATATACACACACACCCTTCCACCTATTTCTGTCGCATGTCGTAGTCTGAAGGCATAGGGAGCACACACACAACTGTAGCTTTCTCTATTTGAAGTTAGCTACAGGTATCAAAGGACTGCAATAGTCATTTCATCATCAACCATCATCAGGTGGATTGTAATTTAATAATCACTTCAGTTTTATAATAAAAATAAATATCACATTCAAATATTTCGTTGCGATTACAAACTCACATTTTTGCAGTGTAAGCATCAACTGTAACAAATATAATATGTAGCTGTAATAAACCGCAATGTATGAATTATCTACTACATACATGATTAAGTTTATAATGAATCCCCAGGGTGCAAGTGATACTCACACTTGTTCTTTAATTTGATGTTAGAATACAGAAATGAAATTTGCCAAATATTTTTCACATAGCCAGCACTTTTAGAGTTGTGCTGATAAGCGTGAAATATCTCTAGACAGTGTTGTGTGTATAACATAGGGCAACACGGGTCAATGGCGGACCGGAAGAGTAGCCATACGCAAGCGTTCCCCTTTGTCAAAGTACAAGTTCACGCGGTCCTGTGCGTACAATAAAACTAGTTCCAGCCGCACTGCTCACTAGACTACATCTAGTTCCGCGGCTGAATCTACGTGCTACAAAAATGCGGAATTGTTCAGTTTTTTCAAAAAGAGAGTCGCCACGTCAATTTTACAAAAAATGGCGTACCTTTCCTTTGTAAATAATTTTTAATCTCATTATTGTTATTTACTTGTTTTTAACACTTTCACTGTCCGGTTTTCAGACACAATAGTAAGACAATAGCAATGACCTATATATAGTGCACGGGACAGCGAAAGGGTTAAACTTAAAAATTACAATAATAACGGCCGTGTTTTTCCAGATTTGTTTACCAACATAGGCCGCTCGGCCTCATACAATATGCGGATCGGTCGACCGACTAATCCGAGTCTGTATCTGAGTTGTCGGTTATCGCTGTCACCGAACAATAGTGTTATAATGTACTTATGTGTGAATTTGTTAGTCTAGTGTTATGTGTGTTTCGTAATGACATACGATTGTTTTTGGTTACGCAGATTTCCCCCTCGCAAAAAATGACACAGTTCTATATCGGAAAAACACTATGGCTACTCCCCTCCGAATCCACCGTTGGCCCATGTTACTCTATGTTATACACACATCAACACTGTCTAGGGATATTTCACGTTTATCAACACAACTCTAAAAGTGCTGGCTATGTGAAAAATATTTGGCACATTTCATTTCTGTATTGTAACATCAAATTAAAGAACAAGTGTGAGTATCACTTACACTCTGAGGACTAATGAATTCTCATAAAGTAATCTTAGACTATAAAAAAAAAACTCGTAAAGTTTTAAAACTTTTCCACGTTATTTGTAATAAATTAAAACAAATGTATATAGTTTCGTGAATTTTACAGACTTTTATTTATTAGTAGTAATTGAGCCTATATTCCTTTCAAGCCTGACCTATTCCTTGTATAAGCATTTCTTGTAAGTATTTTTTCATTTATCTTGTCTTTTTTTTGCCGTGATCGTAAACTATTAATTGATATATTAAATTCAGATGTAGACATATCTTTTTCCTTTGGCGAAGGGGATTCAATTGTGTTTATTAATTTTGTTTTACCTGTTCTTTTAGGTTTACCCATTCTATGACTTAGTAAAGTAACTGTTTTTAAAGAAGACTCATTAGCCTTCTGGTTTTCTTCAGAATTCTTAGAGCTTCTGGTGGATCTTAAACTTCTATTTTGTATACTACAATTGGATATGTTTTGCTGAGAGTCAGGTGAATCAACATTTTTCTTTTTTTTGGGTGTTCTGTTTGTTTTTGCAGAGACATTTGTGTTTTTTAAGTCTCTCTGAGAGTTATTTACTGTTGCACCAACTTTAGGTGTAGCCAATGCACTACATTTTCGAGTTACATCATGAGGTTTTTTGCAATTATTATCACTATTAATACCTGTAAAAAAAGAGATGTGAGGTAAAAATGATTTTCCACCAAGTAATAAGTTTTATGTGGTGTATGTATTACTCACTTTTGTTAACTATGATATTAGACTTAGAATTACTCAAATTTCGAGGTACTGTTTCACAATTTTCCAAATCACTTTCAAAGTCAGTTTCCCAAAATGCGTCGCTGGAACCCTTGATGATACCTGAAAATTGTATAATTAAATTATTCATATAAAAATCGCTTTATTGACAGAGTTTTCAGAAGTATTCAGAACACAGCAGATTTGTGAACACTTTTAAAATGTGTGCAGGAGGTATTATGGTGCAAAGAGCACAAAGCGACTAACTTGTCCTAAGGGAATGCATCTGGGATACGATTATATTGACTAGGATGTAGTATCAGGGGAAAATTATAACATAACCAGACTAAGACACAAACAATTTTATTTTTCATAGCTATTGGCTTTATATATCGTCCCGACGGTGTCGTAAGAGGCGGCAGAGGCAAACTGACACAGGAGATGGGCAGCAGAATTTTCCTGATAACAACTGAAAATAACAAAAAATACTGCAGTTGCCAAACCGCCTGCCAAGCATGGCAACTATGGCAAAATCCCTCCAAAGAGTCAATATATGGGGGAGCCCTACACTCAGCAGTGGACTTTTTTAGGCTGAAATGGAAGGGAATGGATTGGCTTCAGCTGAAATTTCAACCCAGGGCTGGTGAATAAGAAGTTAGTTGTAGAGCTTAATGAGAGCTTATTTAATTATATAAATATTTGTATATGTGGGCTCTCACAGAATACAGGCGGAAAATGTTCGCATAACGCTGCTGTATGTAGATAAAGAAAACCACACACCTTTTCCAGGTGTCTGGGTCTCTTTCCATATTAGACTCAGAGGCGACAAAGCATCTGCTGCATTTGGATTCTTGTTAAGGATGTAGGTGTCTATGGGTCACAGCATTTACTTACCACGAGTTGGGCTCTGAGCTCGTTTTGTAACTCTTACAACATAAAAGTACCTCATCAATGACGAGTCATCACATGAAAAGTGATTGAAAAAATTAAAACATAACCATTTTAAGAAACACAAATTAAATTTTGGAATATACAGACCTTTAGTTGTATTGACACTGCTTTGCTTACTGGGTGGTATTGTTTTAGTTTTTAAACTTTGTGCTACATTTTTTACCACAATTTTACAATTAGATGTTAGTTTAGTCTGTACTTGTAAGTTGTTTTTGGGCTTAGTCTCACTTTTTTTCTCAACTTTAAAGACTTCCTCATCAGTATATGTGTCACTGAAATCATTGTCGTTGCAAGTAGAAATAACTGAGGTGACATCCCATTTGTCATCAGGATCCACTTGACTGTTTCTGTTAACTCCGCCAGTTTTGTTAGTAGCATTTGTTACATTCATTTGGTCTGCTGGTACTATTTTGTGGATTAGATCTAAAAGATTGTTATCATCTACCAGTACATCACGGCTTAAACATGATTGTGATGTGGCTAGCTTTCTTGTTTTTGTTCGTTCTTTGTAACCATTCGTTTTGATTTGGGGACTACTTGTCTGAGAAGTGTCACTAATGTTTCTGTTTTCAGCAACATCAAGTTTTTGGGTAAATAACTTTCTTTTAATAAAGCTTGGCCTCATAGATATGTCGTCATTTAATTGACTTATTTGCATGGATTCAGTGTTAGCAGACACTTTTTCTAAATTGTCGCTATCTTTAGGAGGCTTATTAGACGACTGTACCAACTGATTATTAGCTACTGATAATTGATTATTAGCCACTGATAATTTATCATTACTATGTTCCACAGAACCAGTAAGAAGCTGAGATGATTTGGCAAGCAGTTTTTCAGGACTTGGATTTTTTCTTTTTGTATTTCCCACTCTTTTTACAGGCATCTTTGGCTTTGCAAATACAAAATCAATTTCTGCATCATTATGCACATTTTTAACACATCCTTTTGGTACATGAGATTTCGACACTTTACATTTCTTATAAGCACTGCCTTGTGAATCATCTACATCCAAATTTCTTTTATAACAAGAATTAATATGTTCACTAGCAGTTATTTCTGAAAAAATTTCTTCTTGTTCACTTTCTATTTCTTGATTTTTATTGTTGATTAGTCCCTTTTTTTGCATTATTACTCGTTTGTTGTTACAGCTTTCTTTATATTTATCTGTGTTTTCTGAATTTGAAGCTTCTGGGAATGTAATGCCATTAGCATGCTTGTTAAATCTTTGAGAAGGTAGGAGGATTTTTTTTTGAAATCTATCTTTTATAAAAGAACTTTTTTCAGGAGACATATTTTGGGTTTTTTGTTGATTTGCATTATGCGAAGCAGGTGTGCCAACAGAAAACAAATTCTTAAAATGATTTTGTCTTATATTATCTGTACAGTCCCTATATATATTACTTTCATTTATAATTGTTCTAATATTTGTCCGACGTGTATTAAGTGTTTTATAATGGGGAATGTTCTCTTTATAAATAGCAGTTCTTATTGATCTGCAGTCATCACTACTTATAGATGAATCACTTCCTTGTTCTCCTGAATCATCATCAGTTTTACGTCGTGTACTTTTCAAAAACAGTGTATGGTTACGTCTTTTCTCAATTCTTTTCCGTAATCTCATTTTTAAAAATTTATTATAGGCATCCTTTATCAAACGTAAATCATGTTTATTGAAGTTTCCGTTTTTAAATGCGAGTGCAATATCAGTAGCACTAACACTAGCATTTGTGTCTAAAACAATATCAAATTCATTAGTATAAACTTTATTAAAGGTTTATTTCTGAAAAAATAAGTTGTGAAATGACTTTTAAATGCTTACACCTAAAATACAATATGGTCATGAAATAGGAATCTTTTAGAAAGGAATGTACTATAAAATAATATACAATCAACTTAAGAGACTAGGGAAAGGCGAGAAGCGGGGCCTATCTGTTTGAAAAATAGGGCATTTTGATAGCAAAAAAAGTAAAAGAAGAGAAACTAAAGTAAATACGAATTATATGTAACAAAATAGATTATGATATAATATTGTAAGTAAATTCATTTAAAATATATTATGCTAATACACATACAGAGTACATGCTAATGAACTTTCCAGTTTAGAGAGCGAACAATATACAGACCAAGGCTTTTTAACAGACTTACTATATGGAATAATAATGTTATGATAATAAATAGGAGGTAAGTCTACTAGATTAAAATCCTAGCCTTTTGCTACCCACTAAAACCGTTTGGTAACAGTTTCTTTAATGGTGTTTAAATTTTGGTTTATTTTGTGAATTCCATGATGTAGATCTTCAACGCCACATTGCATATATAGCTGCAGATCAACGGCATACAGATGGTATGAGCAGTCAAGATTATGAGTGATCAAGTTTAGTTTATAAAAACTGAGAAGATGATAGGAGAGAGTATACCGCGGTACGCCACTTTCAACTTCAGCCCAAGCTGAGGCCATTTGACCTACGTGGTTACCCGGGTTCGAATCCAGGGTTGGGCCAAAATCAATTTTTGAGATTTTTTGTCAAGAAATTCGCTGTAGCAGTCCAGAGTCTGGAAGTTGGTGGTGCTTCACCTCGAAGCGTGCTCGGTACGTACGTAAAGTTGTTGATGCCGCGCCTGATCTCTCTTCGCTCGTGCCGTCTCATCGGAATATGAGATTAAAGGAACGGGGAGTACATCTGTGCTTGTGCACTAAAATATGTTTACATCTACCTCCAGAAAAGACTGGCTGAATAGATAGGTTATCTGTGAGGTCAGTAGCCTTATTGGTTTACCCATGGGTAAAAATTTATGGGGAACGCCCCAAATCCATTCTAAGCTTGAAAATTCAACTCTATCTTCTAGACAGAAATTGCAATCAACATGCAAAGACAATATCTCAACCATATTATCTATATAAACTCTGAGTCATACAACATACATAGTACAAGTACATACAACTTAGTGACCTCGAAGCTAGTTGGATACTATGTGAATTTTCTAAACGCCTTGAGTAACAACAGGGTCGTTTTGGGATAGGTTCCGGATCATGCAATTATAGTAGGCAATTAACTTGCCTACAAGCTCGCACAGGAGGACTCAAACAGTATACAATTTGGACCCGAAGTTTGTGAAATCTTAAAAAGCCTGGTCTGATGAAACTCTCTATCACAATAAGTAACAAAACTTAACATTTGTCTGATACACTAGGTTTAAAACATTCTAAAACCTCAATCCGGGCTCATAATTCGTTTCAGAAGCCCTGCAATTAAGTAAGAATAAATTGCGTTCTGGCAATAGCCCTGACTGGACACTTGTCTAAAAAAGCACATGTCTATCCTTGTACTAAGCAACTCAAGGATGTACCGATTCTATTCCTTAACGGAAAAAAGCATATCCTAACTAATTGTGCACCCTTAATGCGCAAACGTAACACTCATCTGGGAAACTATGTACTTAGTCCAGAAGAAGGAATATTGCTCAGAGCTAAGCTATCTCTTCATTCATTGACGACATAGGGCTTAGGAGTGAACTGTAGCCATAGCAGCAATTACAATAGATCTTAAGTGATACTGGTCTTTCGAGAACTGCATAGCTGCTTGCACAAAAAAATATGATTACGTAGATGTAGACCGCCGTAGCCGAAATTCACTTTGGAGAGCATTTATTAATAAATTATATTGCTACAGTAGATAGTGTAAAATGGTCGCCCAGTCCCAGACACTACTATCTTTGGTGGCGACTATGGTAATGACGGGGCAATGGACTGCAATGTATTTCCAGAAGAGGTTTAGTTGCCACATTCGACAGCTCGACCTGGAAAAACCCTGAAGACGGATAAGAAACTGGAATTTCTGGAACTGGGAAAAGAGACAAGTTGCGCTAAGATGTTATAGAATTTTTTGAGGTGCGATGAGAGGGGAGGAAGACGTTATGCTCAATTCTGGGAACCTCTATACGTGGGAGAGTCACGCTGCGGTTATATTATGGTTGTAGCACGGATGGACTTGACTGGTGAAGGACTACACTCCCAAAGAATCGCAAAATAGCAGTTTAATGCTGCTGTCTTTCATGTGGTAAGTGTAGAGAACCAAGACCATTTTTAATGGAAATGAGGCATTCCATCTTAGTACTCTGGAGTGACAATTTGATTTTTGTTTCTTAATTGAGGATGGATGTATGTGGTCTATGAGCATCCACCTGCCATCACATGGAATGTGTGCTTGTTTGTTACCCTTATTCTATTAAAAAAAAAAGCTTGTTACGTTGTTAATACTCTCAGAATCACTTTGGGTATTTGATTTATGCACCAACCTTGGCACACCCCGATAAGGAGGTAGAGATAGTGTGTTAAGATATCTTTAAAGCCTTGCATTTTGCAAAATACACTGTACGGGACCTTTCCAACTGTAGAGAGGTGTAAGACACGGTGTCACTATGTAGCTAAAGCTTGACACTAGAACTCATTACAGCCTTTTTCTCAAGCATCAAGTAATGCCACAACACATGGCCCTTAAGTACCTGCATCCATTGATTTTCTGCATGTCTTACTAGGTTGTCATTCCATATTGTAGGGGCCGCCATACACTTTGTAAGAGGCTTAAGGCTACGTTTGAGGGTTTTTATAAGTAAGAGGCTGCCACTCCAGAATCTTTCTTCCCCATCAGTTGTTGGTTCATCAAGCTATATGGCTGGCCCATTGCCACTTGTGCCTGGTTACTATAATTAAGAAATGTTGTGTTTTTCAAACAGCATATGTCGTTGAGGCAAAATCAGTTCTTAAGGAAATATGGAAGAATGTATCAACCAATACTTGTCTGAATGAAGGCTTTTATTATTATTATTATATAAAATAAGATACAAAGTTTATCGACCAAAATGGCGATATATTAAAAATGGGCCAAATCAAGAGTACCTTTAACCGACGAGCGTGTATGCGTAGGTATATGGATGTGGAAAAAGCGAGAGAGGTGTGTCAGGATCGTGCCAAATGGAAGTCCATAATCTCGGCCTACCCCTCTGGGTGACAGGCGTGAGTGTTTATGTTACGTTATGTTACAAAGCACATGTAACAAACATTACTATAACCTAACCGTAAGACATCTAACATACTTAAACATACAAGGTGAAGGCGGGCTTCAAGGAACAGTATTTGATGTGTCTATTTTTTTGAATTATCAAAAAGCTATTAAAGTTATTCAGCAGTCTTAAGCTCCTTAAACGCCATTTTTTATATGTTACATTTCCTATTCATTGATTTTAATAAAAGCAATGTTTTATCATATTAAAATAATAAGGCCATAATTAAAATGTATTCGTTTAGATTGCTACAAGTGATTTTGAAGTATTCTTTGTGTCCACTGAATTTGATGAATAGAGTGGATGTCCCTATTACCAGCCTTTTAGTGCCAATTTCAACATTGAAAATTCAATGTTGAAATTGGCGCTATTCAAAAGTCCACTGCAGAATATGATTTCCTCTACAGCTTGCCACAAAGCACTGTCCTGAGCTGCTTTGCTTCACGAGTTTTTCGTTTATGTACTATGTTGTAATTATTTCTGCTTATCTTTCTCAAAAAATAATGAAAATATAAGGTGTTCTTAATACACAACAAATGTATGATAGAAAAGCAAGTACCTACATATTTTGCTAAACTTTCAATTTAAAAACCAATTTTATAGCATAGACATTGTACGCGCCCCTAGCTGCTCCAACAAAGGTCAAATATCCCAAGGCCCATCAGCGGAAGATTCGACGGACAACTAAGGGTGGGGCACAAAATGCCTATGGACAATTGATCTATCATACTACACAATAGAGATAAGGCTAGGTAAATAAATAGTATGTACCTGGATCCGAAGCTCAGACCGCCCCAAGGCTCGGTCAGGCCGTAGGTAGGTGTAGGTTCATGTAAAGTGGTGTGTAGTAGTGTTTATTTATGTGAACAGGCCCAACTGAGGTGCCCGGGCAGCGACCTGGTCCTATGCTGCCCCACAATGCTGCATCACTCCAGCAGGCGTCACCAAGTGACAACTTCTTTCTTCATGTCACTATTTCAGTCTATCAACTTTATTGTACATTTAACTAACTTCAACTCAACTAATTCAACGTTCATCGTAATATCAAATACGTGATACCCGACACAAGTAACGAACAGTAGTTCAAAGTTCAACATTCAATGTTCCGGATTCATTTATCACCAAATTACAAATAGGGAACTAACGCGATCTCTTCTCGAGTCACAAAGTTCAGCGTTACAAACAACAACTAAATTTCTTCGTACGATATTAAATACTACGCCGCAATAAGAATTCAAAATCAACCTAGCTGACACGCAAACTAACTACAGAGTCAATACACAAAAGACTCTTAACGCGACGGTACAAATAAACAATTATTTCCAAAAAAACAATGAACCGGGCCACGCCCTCGAAATGGAATGCGAGCTTCAAATTCCAGACCGTATCTCTATTCGGCGCGCGCGCAAGATTCCACGTCACACAAGCAAGTTAAATATTGCAAAATGCACTTCAACACGCAATCACTATATAATTGGCGCAATTACTTTCAAACGAAATTACTTTAATCAGGCCAATTCAATATAAGCCTCTTGTCACGAACGTACAACTTAGACAAACTAAAGCTACTGTCGTCAGCCCGCGCGTCGAGCGACTGCAAGCGGCACCCCCCCCCCCCCCCCGGCGGCGTTTACCTCACCTCACACCATCGGGCGATGTGCCGAGTCAACGCTATTGGTTGGCGTTTCAAAATTACCATATTTGGGCCTAAACAGACATTATAATTAATAATATTTATTTCAGTTTATGACGACCCTGATTTATACTTCTTATTTGTTACCCTAAAACCTAATACTGGATGGAATAATGAAGAGCTTAATGTGTCATTATGCACTCCAAACATATAGTATATCTAATTACTTACAGCCCCATTAATTCTTACTAAAAGAAAATAAAAAACTTATTAAAAAATAACTGCATTACTATGTTTACAGTCATATTCATACAACTAACAAAGCCTAAAGATGATAATAAGTAAAATAAGCCTAATTAGACCATACCATAACTTATCAAAAAAATAGGAAAATTAGCGTTATCCCTTGCGTCTGTTTTGATTTTCTGCTGACTTCCAAAAATGAGACGGTACTCAATTCGACTGTATGTTTTTTTTGTGTGTTACCTCATAACATTTTACTGGGTGAACTGATTTCGATGATTGTGTTTTTATTTGAAATCTGGTACTTCTCGTGTGGTCCCATATGAATTTGATCAAGGTCAGACCAATAGTTTTTGAGTCATTCTTATATTGAAGTCGGCTGTATAAAATTTTTAATTTTAAATTATAAATTTAACTGATAATTTTATAACTGTGGTAATATTTAAAATATAATAATAATAATAAGCCTGTTTATTCTGAACTTCTCGGTTAAATATGAATACTAGACATGTTTTTGTTTGTTATATGTCCCGAAGCTAGGTTTGCCTTTTGGTTTAGGCCTTCTCTAACATTTTCCACTAGGACCTGTCCCACACTACCCTTCTCCAATGATCTGAATGAATGAGTTTTAAGTCGTCTTCCCATCTTGTTTGTTGGCGTTGAATATACTTTCCTCTAATTTCGAAACATTTTTAGTTGACAATATTTATAGTTAAAACCATAAGAAACCTTATTTTTTGAAATAAAAAGGTGAAATGGCTGGCATTAGGGGGCATCCACCCTATGCTTTATTTCAAATGCATTTCCTTCACATCTTTGCAATATAGTAATTTGTTGAAAACAAATATCTCTTTCTATCACAACCAATAAGTATTTATAAATACATATATCAAAATAAAAAAAAAGCTTGTAAAAATATACAGAGTACTGACCAAGAGCAAGGCAGTACGGCTCTGAGTTGCAATGTGGTGAACATGGGACTAATATATGAATGCCATCAACAACCAAATGAGGTATGTTAACACAACAATGTGATTCTACAATGGATCAAGGGACACAGTGAATCCAGGGGCAAAATGCAGCAGTCGAACTGGCTAGGAGAGGATCGTCTCTGGCCACTATAGGGCTGGAACCAATCATTTTCAGTTCACTGGTATATAGAAACTCTATTAATCAACATGCTCAGCTATGGAAAAAACTAGTAGACTGTAGACAAGCTAGGGAGGCCCTGCCAGAAATAAACAAGTCATTAACCAAGGTTTTAATGAGATTGAACAAGTCACAGATCAGGATAGTATCAAGTGCTATTACAGGAATATTTGTTTACCATAGGTGTTACAGATAGTTCCCATGTGCAGGGCATATGTGGGGGAGGAAGAAACATGGCTAAACACCTCGGCACACCGAGACCACTCCCTAAAATTGCTCCCAACATCAAAGGGCTGTTTAACTTCTTCAGGGAGATTTTATGACTCGAATAATCACATTATTCCTGCCTACACGTAAAATATGCACTCAGACATGGAGTTGCGGAAAACAGCCTATCATAATCTAATCATAATTAAAATAATTAATAAATATTTTACTTAATATTGGTCAAGACTGCTTAAACTCACCTATGCTCCTTACAGAGGTTGGTGAACCGCTTCTGCCATTATAAATAGATCGTTGATAGCTCGCACCACGATAATTATAAGGAATTTGAAAATTGCGCGGTCCTAAGTCTGGCACACTTCGCAAGGACATTGGTGAAGTTTCCCTTCTATAATAAAGGCTACGTTGATCAAAATCTCCATACTTTTGACGCTCAAAATTTCGAGGGAGCATAATCGATGGGGGGTGCATTGTCGATGTATGAAAATTATTTCTAAAATGAAAACTACTAATGTTTGTATTATTATTTGGGCCTTTGGCATGAATCGTCTGAAAAATAAAGTTTTATTATATTAAAGATTTAATTTTAATAATAATAAACGGACAGTTTTTATAAAACTGTTTTGATCATAAATTCAATTATTAGATATTTCAAAACATACCGTCCCCACATTTTGCACACTAGAAGCATTATATGATAGTAAGTCGTCTTCACTGTCAGTCATATTTTACGGATAATAAAATTCTTACAGAATTTAAGGTTACACCATTATAATTAAAAACTTAAGCTTTGATTTTGTTTTTATACATATTATTTACAACTTTTTATGTTTTAGAACTAGCAAATCGCGTTAAAAGCGTCGTTATTGTTTTGAATACTGTCCTAACGGATAAAATCATAGATAAATAAATATGTATTGTCAACAGCAAGCTAAATAGGATATAGATGTACCAACTCGGAAAAATTACGACTCGAGTTAACTCGAGTTGAAATTCACGCAACTCGAGTTTAAACTCAAGTTACGCAACTCGAGTTAGCAGTACGAAACAGAGTAAATGATTTGATTACAAATTTTGTTTAAGTCTTAGTTATAATAAGTACCCGCATTTAACAACAAAACTAGCTATATAGCAGTCTTCATGAAACAATATTAGCCTAGCTTTAAGATGTAGGTACATAAGCTATTAATAGTTTAAATATCACAGACAAAATATTCTTAAATAAATTCAAATTTATTCAATTTCCTTTTTTTAATAAAGATTAAGAGCGAAAAACGAGCACACAGTCCACCTGATGGTAAGTGGATGCTGTGGTCATTGACATCTACATTTATCCTCAATTTAAAAATCAAAATGCAAACGCATGCAAAATGCGTTATCACACATGAGGACTGAGATGGAATGCCTTGTTTGCTTGTTTCCTGTATTAGGGTCTCCGGTTCTCTACTCTTATAATACGAAACACAGTAGCATTAAGCCGCTATTTTACGTTGGTAATGTGAGAGCATGGTCTTACCCTGGTCGAGCAGACCCATTCGTGCTGCAATCACAGTGCTGCAGAATGACTCTTCCATGTAATTCAAAATGTTTATTGTTAGTTAAATGTTACATTTAGTAGTTATGTGACTTACATAACTAAATTGATCATTATTAATCAAAATTATAAAAGAAATTAAATACCATATGTAACTTAGCTATTATAAAATTCTAAATACCTAACAAATTGTTTTGGTTGTAGCTAAATACTCTTTGAAACACAAAGCGCACATACAATGAACGAATCACGCTCTTACTCTTTTGCTGGCTCACTTGATCCGTTCATGTTCATCAGCCCAAACTCGAGTTAGGAAGATCCAACTCGAGTTACACGAGTTAAGCGGAACTCGAGTTGCCATCACTAATTGGAAGTATTTAATCTCAAACAGAATATGGTAACTGTTTTAAGTGGCCTGCTTTTGTGTTACATGGTGCTATTAAACGTAGTTGATTATATTCTCTTTGGGTGCTATTGTTATTTGATTTTAAACTAGATAATAGAGATACAAAAAACAGTGCATTTTAAAGTGATGCAATATGACATTACATTTCGTACCGAGGAATGTTACGTTATACCTAAACTGACCATTTATTTATTCTCAAAACGGGACATGGGACAATAAAAATAAACACAACTTTTTAATGTTATTTATTTCGAAAAACTGTACCTAACTTTATACAATTAGTATTAACATTAATTTTAATTATTACAAATTGTGAACAATAAAAATCAGTCACCAGTTCACCAGCTTCATTAAAGCAAAGTTCCTCAGAAGAGGAGTTGTAGAGTTACCCCCCACTTTCATTTCCTGCCGGACGTGCTTAGTTTTTTTTATAAATTTTTAAAAATCTCATTTTGAAATTATGTTTTCGTAATGTTTTTGACACTATAAACCTGATTTGTGGAGGGAGAGAGCTATTTCTGGATGGTTTATAAAAAACCCCTCTATCCCCTTTGTAGTTACAAAGGGGATAGAGGGGTCTGTTCGCTTGCTTCGCTCGCTCACTCGACTCCGCCATCCCCTTCCAACCTAACCTGTCCGAGTCGGGGTACCCCAAGTCCCGAGCTCGCTTCGCTCGCTCTTGCACCAAATAAAACACCAAAATACTAACTTCCACCATTTCCAAAAACGTCGTAAAATAGCAAGCAATCGGTCTTCAGAGGAGTAGCGAAGTCGTTCAAAAACAGGAGGCAGATAATAACAATAAGGAGCACGTTCACGTAAACTCGGAAGCAACGGAATGACGCTTACCTTATGACGCGAGTCGTGAAATCGAGTATAAACGTAGTGATTATATTCTCTTTGGTCGAGTATATCTGTTATTGATTACTGTCAATGTCAAAAAGTCCGTTTCAGGTATTAATTAGTGATTTATGAATATTTTTAGAAAATAATAATAAATATTTTGATGCAGCTCCGGCAGCTAAAATTGCATGGGGTAGCTTGAGATAAGCCCCCTTGACCCAGCCCCCCACAGTGACAGACTCCTCAAATTCAGGCGACTTGATTCTAAACCCAACCCATACTTCCATCCAACGAGTTTTTGCGGAAACATTTAAATTATCCCATTCGGTTATTTTTGGTCAGTCCCGCTCTCGCACTGACGTGACGTCTGACAAACTTCATAGTTTTGAATTTTCGCACGGTTTCGGTAAACGGGACAATGTTGTGTCCCGGAGCTTTATTTGGGGACAACGGGACAGGTGACCGAGAAAAGGGACAGTCCCGTTCAAAACGGGAAGTATGGTCACTTTAGTTATACCATGACTACAAACATGACGCGAAATGACGCGCCACAAGATGGCTATTTTTTTTATACATTACCCCCACACTAGGATTTTCTCCTGTATCGTGGAGGCAGTTTACAAACACAAATTGCACAAGAACAAACACCCAGACCTGGAATAATTATTTGTAGGCCTTACAAATACTTGTTCTGTGCGGGATTCGAATCCGCGGCCCCCCGAGCTGCAACTCATTGCCAAGCCACTGCGCTACGGAGCCGTCATCCGTCAAATGTGTTGTAATGAAATGCTCGCCAATGCTCGCGTTGTAGAAGATATGCTTGCATTGTGATGTGACAATCGTCAAACGCAATGCCTTCGCTACTCACATTGCCGGAATGTACACTTGATTTTGTTATCAATACTTTATAAATATGATAAGTTATCATATTTATAAAGTCGATTTTTCTTCACACTTTATCCCAATCTACTGAACTATTCAATCAAAATGGCATTCCGGGCTTATGACTGAAACATAGATTGCAATATTGATTATTGACCAATACTATGAATATTGACGTATTTAAAAATAGATTTTATTTCCAGTGATTGTTTTTTTTTAATTTGTTTTACATTATGTTTTTTTTTGTGAAAGACACGCAAAATTATAATAAAAAAATACCAAAACTAAGATGTGTGGATGTGGGTATAAAATTCAAATAAAATTGCTCATTTATTCCTTGTAATCTATAGATTATAAGAAATAAATCGACATACATTTCATTAAACTTCTCTGAAGTTCGTGGTGGGCCCATTCTCCATACAAAAAGAAATTGTCTCCTTTAAATTTTATTCTAAATCATCACTTAAGTTGTTATCAGACTGGTTATTTTTCAGCATGTTTTATGATGTGTCAAATGCGGTACAGTCAACTCTAGCAATTTTACCAATGGAAATTATATTTGCCATCAGGGCACTGACCTCTATATATACAAGTACGCTGGAATGGCATAGACTTCCCTATATAACATTGTCGTCTTTGGCATAGACCAAGGAACATACTACTCTCTAGCGAGAGGCATAGACTTAGTATCTTAAGGCGGCTCTTCACGTTGGCCAACATCCTGGCGAATGTGTAGGGAAATTACGATGGCCATCGTGTAGAGCGGGTGTTTATGCTTACGTTGGTATGTATTGGAATGATGGCCCACAAGATGGCGCGAGATCCGTGTGGTGTCGGTTTTTTACAAAAGATCAAAGGGTTTTGGCAGAGTATTGGCCGCCGCGTCCACACGTTGGGCGCACGTTCAATTTGCTACGAGCTCCCAGAGTGATCGCACGCACCTGATTTAAATTTTATATGCACGCATCGTAACTAGTTTCTACTTAATGGCAGTAACAATGACCAATGGAAAAGCTTTACAGTGCCCTACCAAGCCGAAAATTGTTTGTAAAATACAAGTCTTTCAAGGCTTGTTTTAAAAAAAATATATTTATTATCGTGGAGGCAGTTTACAAACATAAATTGCATAAGGACAAACATCCAGACCCGGAGCAATTATTTGCAGGCTATACAAATACTTGTTCCGTGCGGGATTCGAACCCGTGGCCCCCAGCGCAGCAACTCATTGCTAAGGCACTACGTCATGTAGCCGTCAAGAAATAAAATTTATTTTTTCCATTTCTTTTTGATCACCCTTTTCTTATACACATTCACGTTGTGGTGGTATGTTGTGAATAATATAAACTGCAGCAGCCGTTAGTGCATCAATAATCATTTTAATAAATTCGTCCGTACATTGGCCTGAACCGAAGCAAACTCAACGATCTTCCAACGTGTGGACGCGATCATAAATTCTTGGCCAATATCTCTGCCAACACATTCGCCACTATGTTGGCCAACGTGAATAGCCGCCATTAATCAATCAATCCTGTTCTATAATTATACCTACTTAAAATGGCAATGCCATACAAAATGCTTAGCTTATAACGATTTGAAGCGCCGTCCGTACCGGGAACTAAACTTGACATAATATGCCGAAGTCTGTTGTATTATTTACATCCAAATCCAAAGACATTTAATTTATTTTTCTGGAAAAACTCATTCAAAGGGCAAATATGAAGTTACAGGGTTGTAATGGTGATTTTAATGATAATATATATATATATATATATATATATATATATATATATATATATATATATCCAAAGACATTAAGTTTAAGTAGTAGTAATAATAGACTGGACATCAGTAGCAAAATCGTCGTCTGTAACTTATGTCCTATAGGATATACCTCCGAATTTTGTCGTTTAGTCTTAATGACATCGTCAAAAAGTCAAGACGCATGCGTTTCATATATTTAAAAAATATTTTTAAAGAAAATATGCCCGGTTGTGCATTAAGATATTGTAAGTCACGATATGGAGCAAAAAATGAACGTGATATCGATTTATTATCGTAAATATAACATATATATATACCGAATAATCTTTAAATTTTATTATTTCTAGTAGATTGTTCTAGAACATTTATTTTTATTGTAATAAGCGCCCTCTGTTATCTAGTAAACGTCACTATTTAGTTACCAATTATTAATTATAAAACAATCATGTATATTTCCTATTATTGTATCGAAAAGCATTTCAAACTTAGTAATCTTCAACAACATTACCCAGGGCAGCAACTTATTCCTAAGCCAATACGCCACGGAGCCGTCAAGAAATAAAATTTCTTTTTTCCATTTCTTTTTGATCACCCTTATCTTATACACATTCACGTAGTAGTGATTGATGTATTAATTTATTTATTGATGTATTAATTGATTTATTAAATATCTTAAAATCTATAATATATAATATATATTAAAATCAAATTAAAAAGTAGGATACTAAAATCATGGTTTTACTGTCTTTATTATTCCCTATTAGTTACTTTATGTCGTTAATAATACTATAATTTTTAGCTATGGAAGAGCGAAGTCACCTGTTACAGGCATTATTTTGCTTACTAGGTGACCTCGATCACTGATCTTATAATGTAACTTTAATGTTTGACGAAATAAATTATTATTATTATTATTATTATTATTAAGTTTTATTCTATAATTATATAATAATTTAATAAAATTTTATAACAGTTTCATAGACAGACTTCGAATATTTTCCAGGCCTTAGTTGTAAAAGTATTAATTATACCTATGCCTAGGTGTGTTAATATTTATATAGTTTACTTATCTGTATAACGTTAGTGTATAATAAAGAAATATTAAAAGTTTATATTAAAAATATTAAATATTAAAAATACTGAAAATTAAATAAAAAAATAGTGGTATGCTGTGAATAAATAAACCACAGTTAGCGCTTCAATAATCATTTTAATAAATTCGTCCGCACATTGGCCTGAACCGAAGCAAACTGAACGACCTTCCAACTTGTGGACGCGATCACAATTTCTTGGCCAATATCTCTGCCAACACCATAGACATAGTATCTGTCAATCCTCTATCTACGGCCAACACATTGGCCACTATGTTGGCCAACGTGAAGAGCCGCTATTACACCAACGTCATTTGATCTGGGAGATACCAGCTAATGAATCTATCCCGATAAAATGGGGAAAAATTGTATAATTGTCATGTTAATAAAATCATAAATTACATATAATATTTTAATATGGTGATTTCAATTGTGTGTTTAGTTGTCTGTTGAGTTAGAATCTAATTTTTTTTGTAAAGAAAAATATATTCAAATAAAAATCAATTACGCATTTACAAAATATGTTTTATTATTTTACGAATAGTATCGACTTATAAAAATACTAGAGGTTGGCTGGCGGCTTTGCCTGCGTCATAGTTAAATAATTTATCCCGCAGGTACCCTTTACCGTAAAATTTTATCCCACAGCGTTTCTACAATTTAATAGATCCTTTAAGAAGAATTATTCCGTCCTGTATTGATGTGCCAGGAAGAGTTGATATATGGGTTCCCCATTGAAGCTTTTCATCTAAGGTCACCCCCAGAAACACAGTAATCTCTTCTATTTTCAACCTATCATTATTTACCATTAAATGGTTGTAACTACTAATTTATTGGCCCTCTCTTTGAATTTGTTTTTTAATTAATTTACGTTTTGAGCTTGCATCACTTTATACATTATCTAATTTAGCTATATGATAACAGCGTATGATCAAATATTTTTCGGCGATCAGTCTTATTAGGTACACTTGGTGAAGAGAACCACACGCGTGTTCAGTTTCAACTATAAAATAAATATTTTTATGACCAATAAATTGTTTTAATATACAAGATAATAGAATAAAGTCATCATAATAGTCCTCATCTTAAGTAAGAATTATGAATCTTATAGGTAATGCCCTCGGAAATAAATTGCTGTACTTCATGTTGAAAATTTGCCGCTCTTACCACTGAGTTACAATCGCTAGTGTATCTTACATACACTATAGTTATGCGTCATATTTTAGTAATTATCGACTTAATTTGAAAATTAAAGAAGTGTCATCTGCAAATAATACTATATTATGGTTATCCCCTACTATGTAAGGTAAGTCATTAATGCACACAAGAAACAGAAAGGGGCCGAGAATTGAGCCTTGAGGCTCGCCCATTTGTACCATCGACCCGGAAGAGCTCATACTGTTAATGAATTTTTTTTTGCGTTATCTTACTTAATTACGAAATAATTAATTTAAGAGCATCACTTCTTACACCAAGTGTTGAAGTTTCCTGATTAATGTTTCATGGTGAACACAATCGAAGGCCTTGGATAGGTCATAAAATATACCCAAAGCATCCTGTGAATTCTCCCATGCATTAAAGATATATTTAATCAGCTCAATACCGGCATCAGTTGTCGAGCGACCCCTTATGAAACCAAATTGATTTTTATGAAGTAAATTATTTATATTAAAGAAATTTAACATTTGATCAAGAATAATTTTTTCAAAAATCTTACTAAGTTTTGGTAGTACAGAAATAGGTCTAAAATTATGTATTATTGTAATTGGCTAAGTAAATAATAATTTATTATTTATTTAGCCAATTACAATTCATACATTTTGACCAATAAAGATTAATAAAAATATTATGTACAACTATTATGTGTCGCGCTGCATTTGCCGGCGTTAGACTCGTGGATCGTTTCTCGTAGCTGCGTTGCTGGACGGAGCTATAAAAGTGATGCAGACCGGCGCGCGCGCGTAATTGCCGAGCGGCGGAGGCGTAGGACACATCTCCGGAAAAGCAAGAAGAAGCGAAGCTGCGGCGTTGAAGAAACGGCTCGAAAAAGGTCGACGGATGCGTGAAGATAGCCGGCGTGTGAAGACGATGTGGTGCTGATGATATCTGCAGCTGTTTCTTGTTTCTGTATTAGAACGTTAAATATATATACGTCAAATTATCTCGCATCGATATGCAGCCCGCAGTATCTCAGTAGCCGGGGGTGATTAGGAAATAAATGTTTTCTTTAGATCTTCACCTTTTGCGTTATGGTAGCAGCAGGGTAACATTATTTATAACGGTTTAGGGTTGATTAGCCTGGCTGCTACATCACTCTCCCCCTAGCGAAAGCATACCGGAGGCGTGACGACTCGCCCATGTCTTGTAGTTTTTAAAATAGGTTTCATCTGGGTTGATGTAGATGATGGGTTTTCAAGCTTCCTCGCTGGTGGTTGAGATGACGATGATGATGATGATGATGATGAATCCTCTGAAGTATCCTCGTTAATAATATAGGCAGGTTTTAGTCGGTCGATCGATATAAAAGTCTTGCTATTTCGCTCTAATACTTTATACGGTCCATCGTAGGTAAGTTGAAATTGTTTCTTCACTGCGTCGTTTCTTACAAAAACTTGCTGCTTGCATGTTTTCAAATCTTGATGAATGAATACTGCTTTATTATTTCCGTGTGATGATGTGCGTTTCGACGATAAGACGTGTGTGTTTCTTTATCAGGGCTTGCAACAAGGAGATCATCAATGAGTGCGAAAACGAAATCCAGTCCATGAAGTACTTCGTGTATGAATCTTTGAAAGGTATGACCAGCGTTCTTCAGTCCTGGGGTCATTCTTGGAAATTCGAATAATCCCACTGGAGTAATTATTGCTGTCTTCTCTATGTCTTCATCGCGTACCTTTATTTGTTGGTAAGCTCGGTTGAGATCGGTGGTAGAGAATATAGTCTTGTCTGACAGTTGATGAGTGAAATCCTTGACTCGCGGTATTGGGTAGCGGTCAGAAGTAGTAATAGAATTCAGTCTTCTGTAATCTCTACAAACTCCTAATTCTCTCCACAAACTAGTATTAAAAATAATAGCTGAATGAATGAAGTTTCCTGATTAATGTTTCATGGTGAACACAATCGAAGGCCTTGGATAGGTCACAAAATATACCCAAAGCATCCTGTGAATTCTCCCATGCATTAAAGATATATTTAATCAGCTCAATACCGGTATCAGTTGTCGAGCGACCCCTTATGAAACCAAATTGATTTTTATGAAGTAAATTATTTATATTAAAGAAATTTAACATTTGATCAAGAATAATTTTTTCAATAATCTTACTAAGTGTTGGTAGTACAGAAATAGGTCTAAAATTGGCGGGGTCTAATGTACTACCAGATTTAAATAAAGGTATTACTTTACTATGCTTCACCAAAACAGGAAACACACCACATTCGATACTAGTATTAAAAATAATAGCTAAATGAGGCGCGATTGTATCTATTATAGACGCAATAACTTTAACGGAAATCCCCCCGCAGTTTTCTTAACGTCAATAGTTTTAAAATATTTTACAATATCTTTTGATGATACTTTATGAAATGTAAAATTCTTTGTACACGCATTTACATTTTGTTTAAGTAATGATTCGGCGACGGCAGGAGAAGAATTCAGTGATTTAGTGGTTAATTTCGGAATATCAGTAAAATATTTCACAATAACCATTGCAACGTCGTGATCTGATTCAGTTAATTTGTTATTAACCCTTAACTGGTAGTTTGAATTGCGAGAGTAGATCTTACCGTTAATTTTATTAGAAGACGTCTTAATTTTGTTGCTCAAATGCAAAGACTTGGCTGTGGAGCACACTCTTTTAAATATTTTTTTTACATATTCCCTAAATTCGACGCTATGATTATATGACCTTTCATGGTAAAGATCATATAACCTATGTCTGCTCTTATGGACTCCTACCGTCGCCCATTCATTGAATTACTTCCGACTGTTCAAGGAGAATGTTTTAGAAGTAAAAGTACTATTAAATTCATTGCAAATAAGCTTAAATAATGTTCCATACAAAAAATTAGGATCATCTTGGTATGAAAGTGATGGAAGTTTTTTCACTTTGTTATTTCTAAACTTCTCCAAGCGACGTGAATTTACTGGAACAAACACAACTTTCTCATCTATTTGCTTTTTGTGAACATAAGGTAACGATACTACTTGTCTACAGTGATCAGAACTTAATTTTTGAATTATACATTTATGCAACGGCTTCACATTTGTAAAAATGTTATCTATACATGTTGCACTAGATTGAGCAATACGCGTTGGCTCTAAAAATAAATTAAAAAGACCATATGAATATAGAACACTCTAGGCCAATCCAGGTCATTTCACTCTGAACAGGAAAGTACTAGAACACTCGCGATTGAACACTCACGATAGCATAACAATAACAATGTCCAAACGAGAAAGACATACAGTTAAAGATATAGATAGAATTTTTAGATTTTAGACGGCAGTTTACATACATAGATTTCAAAAGGACAAATATCCAGACCCAGAACAATTATTTGTAGGTTATACAAATACTTGTTCCGTACGGGATTTGAACCCGTGGTCCTTATCGCTGCATTGCGTCATTGCTAAGCCACTGCGCCACGGAGCAGTTTATACTTATCGCCAAACACGAGTTATAGACGTGTTTCAATTTTTTACTTTGGAGATTAGTTCTTCTCTCGGTAGAGAGTAATTGTGTTCTGTGCATAGATAAATAAATATGGTTCTGTGCACATTCTGTGGCTTTGTCTCTAACGAGAGAATCTCAGAAGGGCTAGAACTTCCCTATATATAATGTACTCTGTGGCTAGAACCCAGAGCCGTAAAGCAAGTTAAAAAAACATTTTAATTTTTATTTGAAACCGTATGTAGTGATGAGAAAATGTCTAATGTAATAAAATTTAGTTTTAAACACATAATACCTTTATCAAGATGTTCTTACGTTCGTACGAAATCTACTTGTTTACTAAATATAAAAGGTTACAGCAGCAAAGCTGCAACTACAGACAGCGATGTTTTTGATAATTTCACGGACTGGGAAACCTTAAGTAAAACGAAGAAAATCAGCAAGGCTATGAGGGCTTACCTGGAAAGAGCTAAGGAACATGATGAATTTATGAAAAAACAGCAATTCGAATTTAGCATTGGAAAGAGACATCTTGCAAATATGATGGGTGAAGATCCAGAAACTTTTACACAAAAGGATGTGGACCGTGCTATAGAATATTTATTTCCTAGCGGCATTTATGATCCAGCTGCTCGTCCACTTATGAAACCACCAGAAGAAGTGTTTCCAGCGCGAAAAGCGGCCGAATTTGATGAAGCAGGTAGACCACATCATTTTTTATTCTATACTGGGAAACCTAACTTTTTTAAACTCCTATATGATGCAGCTGAGAATATACAGTTTCTGTATAAATTTGAGGATAAAGTTATTAGAAAAAAAGAGACTCCATATCCTAACCAAAACTTGGATTTAAGTAATACTGTTTGGTTCACAAAAGATCAACTGGAGCAGCATTTAGTGGAAAAACTTACTGATTTGGAATATGAGAATTTTAAACTTGTCATGGAAAGACTAATTTCATTGCCCTATTCTTATCAATTTAAAGATTTCATTGAGAAATTCAGAAAAACACTAACCTCTCAGAAGTTTGCTCTAGAAATCCCTAAACCAAACTTTGATGAGGATGGGCGAGCATATGTAACAACTTACGAGTGTTTGCGAAAAAAAGCTAGAGGTGATGTCACCATCCGTTCACCTGGTACTGGTAAAATAATTATTAATGGAAAAGATATAACATACTTTGAAGACACCCAGTCTAGAGAACAAGTGATTTTCCCATTGATATTTACTGGAATGCAAAATAAAGTAGATGTAGAATGTAATATAGAAGGAGGTGGACCATCTGGACAGTCAGGTGCTATAAGGTGGGGAATTGCATGGGGACTACGTAGTTTTGTTGATAAAAACATGCTTGAAGCAATGCAAGTGGCTGGGTTGTTGACACGGGACCATAGAAGACGTGAGCGCAAGAAACCTGGTCAACCTGGTGCCAGGAAGAAACCTACTTGGAAGAGAAGATAATTTTATAGTGTAGCTAATATGTTGATATGTATTTAAAATATCTTAACTCGTTAAATAAAACAACTTAGCATGTTGTGTAATGTTTATATTCATTTATCATATTTATTTCCTTATACTCTTTTTCATAGACTTCTTTCTTCCCCCTATTTTTTTTGTAAACATCTGATTCTTTCGTTCTTTATTGTATATTCTCTTCTTCATGATAGATTTCAATCCCCTTCTCTCCTTTTGTCCCTCTTCACATTTGTTAAAAAAAAGCAAACCTTCTGTAATAATTATAAAACATACACTTAATCCATAAATTGATAAGACTTAAAAATATATTATAATTTAATTCTTACAAAATACCTTTGAGCCTATAATCATTACTTGAAAAAAATAAATTTTCCCTCCAAACAGCTTTAACTTCTGGTTTTTCTTGAGGCACATTGTTTTCTGTTTTATTTTCATCACATTCTGAATCAGAAGAATCATATACAAAGGGATTTTTTTCACTTGTGTCAAGAGGGTTTTTTGATTTCCTTACTTTTTCATTGGGTAAAGATACATAATCCGAATTTCGCTCTTCCGATTCTAAAACAGTAAAAAATTTAATCTAGGCAAAAACATTTTAATCACATTTGACTATTAAATATTTAGTACCTTTTTCATTACTTTCTTTTGCAAATAAGTTCCGTAAACTAAAGGAACTAGGTTCAATCATTGCTTCTTTTAAAGTATCGCTAACTTTATAAAACTGTTCCTTTGATACCTCTACCTTTTCTATAACACCTTCTGGTTGTATCTCTTCTTGATTTTCTTTAGATTTCTTCTTTTTAGATTTTTTAGCCTGATCTGGTGAAGTGGCAGGTGCTAAGAACTTAGCATGATTTGGATGCATTGGATCAAATCGTAACATACCCATTTTAATTCTAAATAAAAAAAAATCATGTAATTATATAAATTCAATCCAACCTGAAAAGTATTAGAACTTACTTACTTAGACTTCTGAGTAGAGTCAAAATTATTTCTTTTAATAGTAACTCCTAGAACGTCTTGCAAAATATTTAGCTGCTTAGATTTCTCATCAGTTCGTTCTAAGTCAACTACTTCATTATCATTAACTGTTGATTCATGGTCAGACCTATCATCATTGATGAACCTTTCATCTAATACAAAACGTTTGTCAGATTTGTATCGTGATTGTAACTCTAAAACCTATAAATGTATGCAAATATTAAATAAAAACAAATACATAATGTGGAATAGTCTGTGTTGGACAACCTTTACCTTCTGACCCTTTTTGCCTTCAAATTGTTTCTTTATATCAAAATTTACTTCTGTATCAGATTCTTCTTCATCAAATAAAGATTGTCTTTGACCATGACTTTGTTTTTCCACAACACTTTCATAATTACTCGGATATAATTCTTCATTCTCAAAATCATTATCAGAAAAGATAACCTTTTTATTTTGAACATTATCCTGGAAATAACAAAAGTAATTTGGATTATTGTTATTAGCCTTTGTACGCCGATGATCAAGTCATATTTGCATCGTCGGCGGCCGAGTTGAAATGATGGTTACTTTAATGGTATGAAAGTGTTAAGAAGTTAAGAAAGGGGTATGAAAGTGAACGCAAGTAAGACGAAAGTGATGGTTTTTGAAAGAGAAGAAAGTAAAGCGTTATGTGAAATAAGAATAGAAGGATTGAGCAAGTGAATGAGTTTGTATATTTGGGATGTTTATTTAGCAGGGATGGTAGATATGATAAGGATATACTCGTAGAACGACGAGTGAACGCAGGAAATATAGTGAATGGGGCTCTACATGCAATTATGAAGAGTCAGAATGTGTCAAAAAGGGCTCGTATGGCAATTCATAATGCTGTCTTAGTCACTACTTTAATGTATGGTAGTGAAAGTTGGGTCTGGCAGAAGAAGCATGAGAGTAGAATAAATGATGTAGAAATGCAGTCATTAAGGAGTATGCTAGGACTGAATCTGAATGACAGGGTGAGAAATAGTGTGATAAGAGAAAAGTGTGGTTTGCAAGATGACGTTGTGACCAGGATTAAGAAAGGAATGCTTCGGTGGTTTCGTCATGTAGAAAGAATGAATGAGGAAAGAGTGACAAAGCAAATTTTTGGTTTCAGAAGTGAACGGCAGAGTCGGGCCCTAGACGAAGGTTTATCGACCAAATCGGCGATAAATTGGAAATGGACCAAATTGGGAGTACCCCAAATCTACGAGCGTGTATGCGTAGATATAAGGACGTAAAGGAGGCGAGAGAGGTGTGTCAAGATCGCGCCAAATGGAAGTCTGTAGTCTCTGCCTACTCCTCTTTGTGACAGGCGTGAGTGTTTGTGTTGTGTTGTTGTTGTTATTAGCAACATGTAAAATGTATGGGGGCGGGATAAATTAATCAAAGTAATTTCAAAGGTAAGTACTTTTAAAAATAATTATCTTTGAATTTCATTTGTGATACTATATTAGTAAATGGGTATAGGTGGAAACAAATGGGACAAATTAAAGGCACCAGTGGCATTTCACAATGACCTAACTCAAGGTAAGGTAGTGAAAGTTTTGTATGGTAGAAGCAGCATGAGAATAAAATTAATGCTGTAGAAATGTAGTTATTAAGAAGTATGTTAGGAGTGACTCTGAATGATAGTTGTTTACAAGATATTGTGACAGTATTAAGAAGGAATGCTTTAGTGATTTGGACACGTTTTTTGCCTCAGACATGAGTGATAGCAGAGAATAATCCGCAAGGGACGTCTTAGATAATAGTTTATCCACCTATATGGGCCAAGTTTAGACACAGTTAAAAGTACCCTTAAGACCATAACTGACGAGCTAAGGACTTAAGATCATGCCAAACGGATGTCTACAGACTTCCCTTTGGCTCTCTGTCTATCCCACTGGGTGACAGGCATAAGAGTTTATAATTGTGATTATGATGATATTTTAAAATGGACCCTAGTTTTAATGAGAAATAAAATGCCATTAGGTAATTGACATTCTAGTCAATTAAACTGCATACATAAAGTCGATGGATACAGGTGGCTCAGGACCGTGCTTTGTAGCATTCCTTGGAGGAGGCCTATGTTCAGCAGTGGACTACTGAAGGACTGTAATGATGATGAAACTGCATACTTTTAAGAATAAAAAAAAAAGGAAATAGTGTAAAAATGAATGTAGTGTAATGAATGACATTAAAGTTTTTATAGTCAATTATCTTATTTGCAATTTTTATGGCCAAATACTTAAACTTTTTATACGTGGTAGAGCCATGTTGCAGCTATATTAATTGTATAGTTGTAGCACGAATGGATCGGCTCGACCGGGGAAGGACCACGTTCTCACATAATCACAGCATAAAATAGCAGCTCAATGCTGCTGTGTTTCATATGATGAGTGTGGAGAACCAGAGACCCTTTTTACTGGAGAAGAGGCATTCCATCTTAGTCCTCACGGGTGACAACGCATTTGCATTTTAATTCTTTATTGAGGATAGATGTAGATGTCTATGGGTCACAGCAACCACTTACCATCAGGTGGACTGTGTGCTCATTTGTCAACCTGTCCTATAAAAAAAAAACGCCACTCAATTTTACGAGAATTAACGGCATTTTAAAATTAACTAGCTTTCAAGTATTTAAGAAGATAATATACGTGCTACAGCCATGCTGCAGCTATATTACTGGTATAGTTGTAGCACGAATGGGTCACCTCGACCGGGGAAGGTCCACTCTCTCACAGAATACCTGTTTTGCGATCCTCTAAAACAATTGTTGCGTAATGACCTGTCCTTCCGAAGAACGACGCCACCATCTGTTTTCCCACGCTTCGACCTCGCTTCACTTTAGTTGGCAACTCCTCGGATGGAAACACCCAGACAGCAGACTGTCTCTTAGTTTCAGGATCATAACAATAAATCCAGCTTTCGTCACCCGTAAGTATGTCGAACACAGCATTTGAGTCACCTCCGTTAAATCTTTGAACCATTTCACGACACTAATCAACACGACGGAGTTTTTGGCTCTCTGTCAAATTATGAGGTATCCACCGGGCACAAAACTTCCTGACCGCTAAATGTCCACGGAGGATTTTGTGCACTTGAGTCATACCGATGCCTAAGCTTGTCCGAATCTGCTGATAAGTGACTCTTTTGTCAGTCCCTATCCAACGCCGCAAAACACTCATGTTATCTTTAGTCGCCGCCGTAGAAGGCCGTCTGACACGCAGATCATCGGTAAGATTAGTGCGACCACGTTTAAACTCATTAAATTGTACACGAGATGGGGCTTCATCGTGAAAGGCCAATCGAAGTTTATCGTTACTTTCTTGTTGACTTAAATGACATCGATGATCGAAAGTCGTAAAATATCATTGTACGAAAATTTTCTCGGGTTACATTCATACTGACGTGACACAGACAATTTTCAATTTGCCGCCAAATCGAATACAAATGACAAATTAATAAAATACATAGGTACACAATAATATTGGCAAAGTTCCATTTTCAAAATTTGTATTTTTTTATTATATCGTTTACAAGTGGCCAGTTCTAAAAACTTTCAGTGTCGCCCTCGTAAAACGCTACTAAAAGTAGCACATTCAAATTATTTAATGCATTTTTAAATGGTGGTTGAAACTATCCTATTAAAGGGAAAATTAAATTTTATTCATTGACCCTCAGGAAATTTTAAATTTGTAGGCAATAAAATTATGGATTTCAAAATAAAAGCAAATAGCAAAATATATCAAAACTTATGTGTATAAAGATTTTTCATTGCCATGTTGTAGAAATTCTCAAAAATCGATTCTAATTCTAATTTCATTTGCTGGCAACAATAACGTATAAATTGAATTTTCTATTTCGAAGTGAAAACTTTTTTAGCATTGCTGTGAGTTGAAACTCGATGAAACGAAAAAGCGACACTATAAAAAGATACAAATATATAAATCGCATAAGAGAGAATGACGTAGAATCTGTTACTAATATATTAAAGCAGATGAGGTTTTTTTTTTGTATATGATAGCCAGATTCATGAGGAATAGTATATCTAGCATAAGGCTACACCTCTCAACTAGCCTTAAATATTGATTTTTGTTAAGCAAGTCTGAAGAAAAAGCGCTCAAAAACTGTTTTATCCGCATGCGCTAGCGTAATAGTTAGTGATATGTAAATACAATGTTCTACAAAAATTGGTGACCGACCGAAGACTCGGTTTTGGTTTCGGCAAGTTTCGGCAAAAAATCTAGTTTCGGTAATATTTTCGGTTTCGGCATAAAATCTGCCGAACCTTCGGCGGCGCCGAAACTCCGTGTTCGTGGATTATCGTGCGTCGTTCGGATGAGTTCGTGACTCGAGTATTATTTTCATAATTATACAGAAACAGAAACTTTTTTATTCAATATAGATTATAAATTATACTTACTAAAAGTCACTCTTTTGTTTAATTACCCCTGCTTCGAAAAAAAAGTCTGTCCTTGGAAGAACCAGCAAGAAACCCAGCGGGACTTTTTTTTAACAGCTTACAATCAGAGGCGTGGCGTGGACTAATATAAACGTGGACGAATTTGCATCGGCGAGGCCTCTTTCCTTTCGTTCCAAGGATCTACCCTACCAAACATGCTTTGACACGACATACGACGGCGACACTGAAAGTTTTTAGACCTGGCCACTTGTAAACGATATAATAAAAAAAAATAAGTTCAAATTTTGATAATGGAACTCTTTGTAAATATTATTGTGTATGTATTTTATTAATTTGTCATTTTTGTTTTCGATTTGGCGGCAAATTAAAAATTGTCACGTCAGCATGAATTTAACGCGAAAAAATCAACCAGAATGTTATGATAGACTTCGATTGAGCTTTCACGATGAAGCCCCATCTTGTGCCACTGTTTACAACTGGTTTAATGAGTTTAAGCGTGGTCGCACTAATCTCACGATGATCTGCGTGAGGGACAGCCTTCTACGGAGATGACTGAAGATAACATCTGTGTTGTGCGGCGTATGATAGAGACTGACAAAGTGTGACTCATCAGCAGTTTCGGACAAGCTTAGGCATCGGTATGAGTCAATTGCACAAAATCCTCCATGAACATTTAGCGGTCAAGAAGCTTTGTGCCTGGTGGATACCTCATAATTTGACAGAGGGCCAAAAACTTCGTCGTGTTGAGTGGTGTCGTGAAATGGTTCAAAAATTTAACGGAGGTGACTCAAATGCTGTGTTCGAGATACTTACGGGTGACGAAAGCTGGATTTATTGCTACGATCCTGAAACTAAGAGACAGTCTGCTGTTTGGGTGTTTCCTTCCGAGGAGTTGCCAACTAAAGTGAAGAAGTTGAGGCGTGGGGAAAATGATGGTGGCCTCGTTCTTCATTCTCGACAAGTCATTACGCAACAATTGTTTTAGAGGATCAAAAAACAGTTACTGCAGAGTGGTACACTAACAATTGTTTGCCACTTGTTTTGGAAAAAGTTCGGGGAAACGACCTCGCAGTAGGATCCTACTTCACCACGAGAACGCCTCGTCCCTCACCGCTAAGCAAACAATCGACTACTTGGACGTCAGACGTAGAATTACTGGGTCACCCGCTCTATAGTCCCGACCTTGCGATGTTTATTTATTTCCGAAAATAAAAGAAAAACTTCAATGAAAACTTTTATAGACGCCGAGGAAGCAGTGGCTGCGTTTCAAAATGCCGTCGAAGAAACCGCTAAGGACGAGTGGGCAAAGTGCTTTTGGCAGTGGTTCCATCGGATGCAGCGATGCATTGATGTAAATGGACACTACTTTGAAAAGATATAATATTATGAAAACAATAAAATATGTTCTCAATTAGGGAGTAACTTTTTATTGGTGTAAGTTATTTTTTATAAGATAGGGTGACAAACGAGCACACAGTTCACCTGATGGTAAGTGGTTGCAGTGACCCATAGACATGACATCCATATCTATCCTCAATAAACAATCAAAATGCAGATGCGTTGTCACCCGTGAGGACTAAGATGGAATGCCTCTTCTCCAGTAAAAAAGGTCTCCGGTTCTCTACACTCACCATACGAAACACAGTAGTGTTAAGCTGTTATTTGACGCTGGTATTTTGTGAGAGCGTCGTCCTTCCCCGGTCGAGCCGACCCATTCATGCTACAACTTTACTACTAATATAGCTGCATCATGGCTCTACCACGTAATAAGTGTTGATATTTTACAAAATTGACTTAAAAAAATATTTCTTAACGTCAAATTGTTGATTATTACTTTAAAATAAATAAATATATTGCTACATGACTATTACAATTACTGTTTTTCATTAACATGCATTACCTATCTGTATATGTATATGAAATATACCAGGATTCAGTATACAATAAAAAAAAGTTAACATGTCAAAATAAGATAGGCCTATTTATTTTATACATAAACCACAATAAGGTATTTAGTGCCATAAAAATATTGAAAATTAAAAAGTGAGTTATGACCGTTACTATTAGGCATGCCATATTAATCCTTACGAATAAAAGTTACTCCATCATCAAGACAAATTTATGAAGATAAATTGCTTTTTATAGCATGTTATTTGGACGCATAGTTTAAGAGATAATACGGTGGTAGAGCCATGCTGCAGCTATATTAGTAGTATAGTTGTAGCACGACTAGGTCGGCTCGACCGGGGAGGACCACGCTCTCACAGAATACCAGCGCAAAATAGCAGCTTAACACTGCTGTGTTTCGTATGGTGAGTGTAGAGAAACGGAGACCCTTTTTACTGGAAAAGAGGCATTCTATCTTAGTCCTCACGGGTGACAACGCATCTGTATTGAGGTTAGATGTAGATGTCTATGGGTCACAGCAACCACTTACTGTCAGGTGGACAGTGTGCTCGTTTGCCACACATTTACTATAAAAAAAATTCTTAGCACTATACAGGTAGGGGGTTGAACTAACTTTAATGTTTCTTTTTGTTGTTGCAATTTTTTTATTATTATTATTATTTATAGTATTTACACATTGAAAAAGTTATTTCTTTCATTGGTAATGGACTCGCACTGTTGTACTTTTGCCAGTGTCCAGTAATAAGAAATTATCATTTATAATATTTATAATACATTTAATACAACATATGACGTCACAACATACACTAGCCATAGAATAGAACCAGTCCTCTCATCAAACTGTAACTATTTTTTTCTTTATAAAATCGAAGTGATAAATAAGCTAAAATTTCGGCCTATAGTGTGTAATAACCCATGGAGTCCATCTCTAAGCACTAAGATGGAATTACTTTTCAAGATGCATGAGGCTGTAGCCTATGGTTATATAATATTTTTTCAACCACAATACATTGGGTGTACTGCTACTGAAAAAGATAAGAGAGTGGTACTAACACACAAGCTGCTAGGCCAAAATAGAGCTCAACCACCTAGTGTAAAATATTACTCACAACACCAATTAATCCTGATTTGATAATAGACTTCTTTTCTTTGAATTCTTGTCGTTTTCGTTTTAATGATTCTAATCTCTTTATCTCTGAGTCTTGTTTCTTATCATTCTTTGCACAAGCTTCGCTGTTTTCATAAAATAAACCATCTCGTTGCTGAAAATCAGGTCTCTTTTTCTTATCATTCTTTTGTGTTGTTGTGTTTGTATTGTAATAATCAATCCTTTTTGGTGGATTAAGTTTGACATTTAAATTAATGATGGGATTTTCTTTCATACCAGTTTCTCCGTTCTTATTCTGTACAATCTAAAATCAATTTGGAAAAAAATCACAATAGTTTAACATGTTCAAATAAAAATCATATACCTACTTAACAGAAAACCATCTTACAATTACAGTGCTTTGTGCCCAGGAATAATAAGATGGTTTTTATAATATGGAATAATAGTCAGAATTCCTTTATAGTATAATAAATAGATTAGCAATAAATTAATGACATACTTATATGGTTTAAAAGTTCTAGAATTTATTCCACAAATGGTGCAGTTTTAAGCAGTAGCAAGATAAATTAAATTTGAGCGGTAATTTCAAACTCAACAACATTCACATATGACAGTCTAAAACATTATAACTGCACATTTGGCTGAGCTCTGCCAGTCAAGTGACTGTAATTTTTTGATAAAAGCACTTCTACCAGAGATAGGGCCACATTGACCAAATGTGTTTTAGAAGCACCACCTGCAATTACACTCAGATGCAACCGTAAAAGAGGTTGGTACGACTTTCCATTGACTCCCATCGAGTTTGGTGTTGATACGTATTTTTATAGAAAGGTTACATTTTGATAAGCACACACACAACGTTTAAATATGCGGGAACACGTATTTTTTGAGAAATAAATTAATAAAAATCACTTATTTTAACACTATTTTTTTTAATTGGCTTTACGGCTCTGGGTTCTAGCCCTTTTGAGTCTATTTTATTACGAATTTCCATTGTCATTCGTCGAATTGAGGGGGGGGGGGGAGAGGTGGTGTAGGGCGATAAATTCAGAGGGATTTCTGTATCTATTTTGAGACTGCAACGTCTCCGGCGCTGCGGGAAGAGCAGCCTCTACGCCTTTGCGTAACAAATCACAGGCATCCCTCCTCGTCCTCGTCCGATGCTTACGATTTGTTACAGCAGGCGGAGGCTGCTCACCCTACGTGCCTCCGGTTCTATATAACCACTCTAGGGGTAGGACAGACTCGTACCACGTGGAGTCGGGGTCAATAAATTCGGTTCTTTGACGTAAGTAGAACCTAACCTATTTTATTTATTAATCAATTTTGTAAACATATTGAATAGCCTTAATTAATTCTTCGAAGACATCTTTATGAGTTATTTTTATTTTTCTTCGCCAAGAATATTCAATGAGCCAGTCTGTAAAGTTTGCTTTGTAACCATCCCTACTGAACATCATTTTTAAATTTCGCCAGTGACTTTCTATTCTTTGTGTGTGTATCCCGTCTGGTGCCACCGATTTATTTATAGGGTCGCTGTGATTTACTTTCTTATGTATATATCCATATTGAGGCCTACCTCAATATGGATATATACATAAGAAAGTCATCATAGGCTCTCCAAAAATCAGTATGGATTTCAGTGCCTACCTCCACATGCCTTTGTATTAGTGGCACCAATATTTTTGCAGATCTATCATTATCGGGACACACTTTTAATCTCAAATCATCTTTCCCATTTTCTACCATGCCCAGTACCCAGTGGCCTTCAATATGTCTCCCTTTATTGTACTTTCTTTTGCCAAATTTTGATTCATTTAATTGCACTATTTTGCCTGGACCACCTATCTTGCTGTTAACTTCTTAGTGCTCTAATTCATAAATAATTATTATCTTCCGACAGTAAGAAAACCAGTCAGTTATTGGCTTTGTTGATAAAACTGTTTCTATATCTTCACGGGCTGTCTCTAATTTTACTTGATGATAACTATATTTTTGGCTGAACATATACATCCTCAAACCATGTACCCGCTGCTCGACTCACAGCCTTAGAGCAACAGTGACTCTTCCTGCATCGGAAGATGCCATGCTGACCAGTCCTACTGCTGGAGGTTAATATCATAGATTTCCTATGATATGAGCACATTTTTTCTGTAGAAAGGAGCCTATGCTCTTCAGCAAATGCAATACACTGAGCTGGGGTGTTGAGCCGGGTAATGATTTTAAACATATTACAATGGCACCTAAAACAAACAAAAAAGTTCCTATTAGAAATCTGATTACTGCTTTACTTGTCAGCTTTTTCTGTGAAGTTTACATATGTGGCTATATACAAAAACACAGTGAACCAACCTTATTTCCTAGGAATAATAGTGGACTCTTCTGCCAGACGACCCAGAAGCTTGAGGTTCCGCATCATCCACGTCGTTCTCAGACGACGACGGATATACAGACGGCAGTACCGACACGGTACTAGGAACGGTAGCGCGGGAACTACCAGCTACTGGATCCGATGGCACAGTCATGGGCACAAGTGGCTCACTAGAGTCTAACACTTTCACTACACTCGATTTTTCAGACGACACAGCAGAACATGAAACCTGGGGCTTCGGACACGCCATGGTAATAGTTAAATGTTGTTTTTACCGACAAAAGTACGTAAATGCTCTCAATTGCTAGGGATGCTAACAATGAGTGACGATTAGGGATGTCGATCTGAGATCGATTTTTCAGACCCGAAATATGTTTTTTTTTAAATCTGTATGCAGTACAAAATCGATCCAATGAATTGAATATTTCATCCTTGAAAATCGCAATCATTTATTGTATTATCTTTCTTTTTTTCCATAAGAACTCATTTATTTTGGTATCTTATAAATGCAAACAGGAAAATATATCTATATTTAAGAAATCCATTTTTTGTGATATCACAAGAGCTTAAGATTCGAATCGATTTAAAAATCTATCTATTTCGGAAAGAATCGACATCCGTACTGACGACGACAATGACATTACAAAATGGCGCCAGTTTTACGCTACGAATGTAACATAAATATTACAAAAATAATGAATTTCCAAATAATGTTTTTTAAAAAGTACACGTTTCCCCATATTGAAACTTTATGTGTGTGCTTATAATAGTGTAACTTTTCTGTAAAAATACGTATCAACCCCCAACTCGATGGGAGTCAATGGAAAGCAAAGCCAAAATAAGACCTCAAACAAACTTACTTTTTCGTCATCTTTTTTGCTAGCTTGTTCACGCTCTCTCTGTAGTCTTTCCAAGAAACTTTCTCGAGCTCGAGTTACGTATAACCTATGACCATCAAAATCTGTACTTGAGAAGTCCTTTATACCTTCAAAATTATACATACAAACAATGCTTTTAAATGACTAATAAAAAAATTAAAATATTGAGTTATAAAATGAAAACCTCAAAAGTACACTCACATGTTTCAACATCATAGTTGGAAGCAGCCAAAGTTACAAATGCAAAACGTTTGTTATCATTTTCAGACCCAGGTTTATTTTTTATTTCTAAATTTACAACTTGACCATATTTTGAAAAATTTTCGTGGAGGACAAAATCATTTAAATTTTCTGGGATATTACCAACAAACAATCGAGTGTGTAAAGCCATGGGAAAGCTTGAAATTGAAATGTTAAAGTAAAAAGATATTCTCTACTTTGCGTTTGATAATTTCACATTTCTAGTCAACACTCAACATATTTGACTTGCTACTTTACTGTGACATGTGACACTGACACATAACCTATAATTAAAAATTTATTAAAATTTTTGACTTAGATGCTTGTCTTTTAGGCCACGTCTTTATTTCATTTAGGATTATCGTTTTTATAGATTTTCAGTATCAAGTGATAATAATCACTTTATAGTACACTGCTTCACAATATGTTGATGCGTTACGTTGCGCAGTTTTTAGGAGATTTTGACGGCAACGTGTGCCTGCAGACAGTTGGCGATAGTATTTCAAGGCACCTATCAAGACAGACACTTTATCTTAAAATTCATATCACCATCGTGGCACTTGTTTCACCGTTTTCACGTTCAAGCTCCCACCAATAACTCACCATAATATAATTAAAATATGAATCATATCGTCGCAGAGTACACTGCATATCATGACATTGACATACAAATACTTAGAGTATAAATAAGCAAGCTATAGAACGCTTGTATCACCCATTATACCAAACGTCAGCAGGTGTTAGATAGGTACCGACATCGACCTCTATATATACAAGTACCCTGGACTGGTTATACCATATACAGACAATATTGGACATAGGAAACGTCATAGTAAAATGATATATGACAGCTAACCATGGAAATATATGTACTTCGTTTGTCTATACTTCCGTGCAGCTAACATTATTGATTATGTTTGATTTTAGTTACATAACATAATAAGAATGATTTTTAGTAATAGTAAGTGTGCGTAATATATATAACTAGTTACCAAAAGGAAAGTGGGATAAAATTCCACATTTAATTTTATTTACAGCTAATATTAAACAAATTAAAACTTTTTGATAATATAGTTACGTACAAATTTGTTACTAATCTTAATATCGTAATTACCAATATGTTTGGCTATATATTACTGAGTTTTGATAAACTTCAATAGGGTTGTATTCCTGTCTATAATAGTTATCAATGTTTTTTTCTACCAATATCTGTTAACAACCAAAGTCGCCGACAACAGATAGTTATCAAATGTTTGTTAATTAAGTAACAGGTTTCCAACTGAACCTAGACTATAATTATGGCTGAAAAGCATAAAAATTGTGAATTAGCGTCCGAAACATAATTATTATCTTTGTTCTAAACACTTCACAGCCCACTGTTTTGAGAGAGATAGACAAACAAGAAACGATGCAGCAGCAATCAAAATAGAAAGGGATAAAATTTTTTTTAAAAACAAACTTGTTAGAAGCTTTTTTTAAAGTCAAGAGGGATGTTGTTCCAGAGTCTGATGGCCGTGAGGGCGAAAGAGTGAGATAAATAACCAGCACGATGTAAAGGAGTGAGCAACTTAAGATTAGCCGAAGAACGGATAGAACGATTATGAGAATCTCCAAGGTATTGAAATTTGGATTTCAGATACTCGGGAGCACATGGATCGTTCAGAATTGTGAAAAGGGTGCAGATTATTCTAATTTCTAACATATCTGCGCTGACGGATAGGTAGTCTATTTAGCTGAGCACTAAAAGAAGATACATGGTCGTATTTACGAAGACCATAAATGTATCTGATACAATTGTTAAGTAGACGATCCAATGTATTAAGATGATGTTGAGACAGGTCTGAGCAACACACATCGACATAGTCAATAATTGGTAGAATAAGTGACTGGACAAGTAAAATCTTAGTATTGGTAACCACTGCTGAACATAGGTCTTCCCCAAGGAATGCCACAAAGCAAGGTCCTGAGCTACCTGCATCCATCAACTTCCTGCATATCTTACCAGGTCGTCACTCCATCTAGTGGGGGCACGCCCTACACTTCGCCTGCCGGTACGATGCCGCCTCTCGAGAACCTTTTTTCCCCATCGGTTGTCGGTTCTACGAGCTATATGGTCGGCCCATTGCCACTTCAGGTTACTAATCCATTGGGCTATGTTGCTCACTTTAGTTCTACTGCAGATACCCTCATTTTTAAGTATATCACGCAGAAAAACTCCGAGCATAAACCTCTCCATAGCTCGCTGAGCTACCTTGAGGTTCCTTATTCGGCGAGCAGTGAAGGGCCACGTCTCAGTTCCATAGGTCATCATTAGCAACACGCACTGGTTGTGCAGTCTCGTTTTCAAGTTTTGAGGTAAACCTGACAAGAAGATGTGCCGTAATTTCCCGAATACATCCCAGCCGAGTTGAATCCGTCGACTGACCTCTCGGTCGAAGTTGGACTTACCTAGTCGGACTATTTGTCCCAGGTAAACATACTCGTCAACAACTTCGAGCTTAGTGCTCCCAACAACTACCGGCATAGGTGTGACATCGACGATTTACATGATCATTATTTTGTCGATATTCATCTTAAGACCTATCCGTTGGGATGCACTATTGAGGTCATTAAGCATAGTGCTTAGGTCCTCCAGCGATTCTGCCATAAGGACTATATCGTCAGCCGGTAGCGAAGCCTCCATAGAAGCCGAGAAGGCGGGCTTGCCCTATCAAATTGCTCAATCAATAATATCAACTAATAAAATAACTCGTAAACTGTTTCAAACTATTTCGAATTTCCCTCGCGCTCCTCTGGTCACAGGACACAGGTCATGGCCTCGTAGCCTTATTATGTAACTTCAATACTTGGCAGATTGCTTTCAATTCGAAATACACTGATTCGTGTTCTCCGTCTCACAGCGAACACGCAATGGACTGTCAAAATTAAAAAAAGCAAAGCAATATGGATAGACCCCGGTCGCGGCAAAACTGCGCGATACTGCTGTCATAAAAAAGGAATTGAGTTGAGCGATTAATCGTCTCTCTCGCTTGCGTGGACTTTTTACTGGGCTTTCGAGAAGACGATCGCTCCCTTTCTCACCTGTGGCAAAATGTTCTATAATGAAATATATAACTATGATTCGGTGTGAAGTTAGTTAGTAGGTCGTCACTCCATCTAGTGGGGGCACGCCCTACACTTCGCCTGCCGGTACGATGCCGCCTCTCGAGAACCTTTTTTCCCCATCGGTTGTCGGTTCTACGAGCTATATGGTCGGCCCATTGCCACTTCAGGTTACTAATCCATTGGGCTATGTTGCTCACTTTAGTTCTACTGCAGATACCCTCATTTTTAAGTATATCACGCAGAAAAACTCCGAGCATAAACCTCTCCATAGCTCGCTGAGCTACCTTGAGGTTCCTTATTCGGCGAGCAGTGAAGGGCCACGTCTCAGTTCCATAGGTCATCATTAGCAACACGCACTGGTTGTGCAGTCTCGTTTTCAAGTTTTGAGGTAAACCTGACAAGAAGATGTGCCGTAATTTCCCGAATACATCCCAGCCGAGTTGAATCCGTCGACTGACCTCTCGGTCGAAGTTGGACTTACCTAGTCGGACTATTTGTCCCAGGTAAACATACTCGTCAACAACTTCGAGCTTAGTGCTCCCAACAACTACCGGCATAGGTGTGACATCGACGATTTACATGATCATTATTTTGTCGATATTCATCTTAAGACCTATCCGTTGGGATGCACTATTGAGGTCATTAAGCATAGTGCTTAGGTCCTCCAGCGATTCTGCCATAAGGACTATATCGTCAGCCGGTAGCGAAGCCTCCATAGAAGCCGAGAAGGCGGGCTTGCCCTATCAAATTGCTCAATCAATAATATCAACTAATAAAATAACTCGTAAACTGTTTCAAACTATTTCGAATTTCCCTCGCGCTCCTCTGGTCACAGGACACAGGTCATGGCCTCGTAGCCTTATTATGTAACTTCAATACTTGGCAGATTGCTTTCAATTCGAAATACACTGATTCGTGTTCTCCGTCTCACAGCGAACACGCAATGGACTGTCAAAATTAAAAAAAGCAAAGCAATATGGATAGACCCCGGTCGCGGCAAAACTGCGCGATACTGCTGTCATAAAAAAGGAATTGAGTTGAGCGATTAATCGTCTCTCTCGCTTGCGTGGACTTTTTACTGGGCTTTCGAGAAGACGATCGCTCCCTTTCTCACCTGTGGCAAAATGTTCTATAATGAAATATATAACTATGATTCGGTGTGAAGTTAGTCGAGCGCGGGGGCGCACAGGCGATACGTTTGCATGTTCACTTCACATTTCAATGTTTACTCTGTGAATGAATGAATGAATGAATCTAATGAATATTGCGAGATGAAGAGTTATGCTTTTTTAAAGATTTTTAGTGAAAATGGAGAATAATAGTGTTCCTTGTGATGAATTGAAGTGTGTTAAAGTGATAATCGGCGAGGAAAAGGGAAAATCTTTAAACTTTGTTGAGAAAAAACAGTTCATATCCACGCCGAAACCAACGTCTGATCTGTGTATTTCTCAGACGAGTAAAACCCACAAACGGCAATTTAACAGATCTGTTTACAAAACTCATTGGATTGTTGGCTGCTCACATACCGAAAAGTTGTACTGTCGGTGCTGCATATTCTTTTCCAACGACAAAACAGCTTGGAATACTACTGGATATGATGATTTAAATAACTTATCTGGAGCCAATAAAAGGCATATGAATTCTCAAAAACACATGAATGCGGTAATTTCGTTTAGTAATTTTGGAAAAAATCGGCTTGAAACATTTTTGTCGCTCCAGTTATCCGAGGAAATTACAAAACACAACATGCGTGTTGATCACAACCGTAGTGTTTTTCAAAGATTAGTCGATATTGTTTGCCATTTACACAAGAACTTTCTTTCAGAGGTCACGATTAGTTGAAAACTTCATTAAATAGAGGCAATTTTTAGAACTTGTATCGCTTCTTTCGAAGTACGATCTCGTGTTAGAAAAGCATATGCAGCATCAACATAGCGACAAACGGCCGAGTTATTTATCTAGTATAATCCAAAATGACATTATTAATTGTCGCTGATGTAATGAAAACTCGCATCGAGTACGAAGTAAAAATGTCAAAATTCGTTT